CGGTGGAACGGTGCGGCCGGTACCGCAGCGAGGCCGCCTGTCTGGCCGCAATGGACCCGTACTGTGGCTGGGACGAGGCACGCGCTCTCTGCACGCCGCCGCCGGGCCAGGACCCGGGCGTGGCCTCGTGGCTGCAGCCGGTCACCCAGTGCCCCGACCTGAGCCGGCCCGTGGACGGCGGCTGGAGCGCCTGGGGCGACTGGCAGCCGTGCCGCCAGCTGGAGAGCAGCGACGGCGAGGACGAGCCGGGAGAGCCGTGTCTGTGCCGCCGGCGACAGTGCTCGAGCCCGGCGCCGGCGCGCGGCGGCGCCCCGTGCGTCGGCCTGGCCGCTGAGGTGACCAACTGCACGCGCCACGGCGGCTGGACCAGCTGGTCAGCCTGGTCGGCGTGCTCTCACCCGTGCGGCGTGGCCGTCAAGTCGCGCCGCCGCTCGTGCAGTAGCCCGGCGCCGGTGCACGGCGGCCGCGACTGTAGTGGCGACGCCGAGCAGGAGATTATGTGCCACTCGAACCCGCCGTGTCCGAGCGAGACCAGCCTGCCGGTGGACGGCGGCTGGGGCCACTGGAGCGCCTGGTCCCGCTGCTCGGCCCGCTGCGGCGGCGGCCTGCGCCGGCGCCGCCGCAGCTGCGACAGTCCTCGGCCGGCTAACGGCGGCCGGCCCTGCGCCGGCTGCGAGCTCGAGTACGGCGAGTGCGGCGGCCAGCCGTGTCCCGAGCAGCGCCGCCTCACACACTGGACGCCCTGGCTGGCGGCCAACGGCAGCACCGCCGGCCGCCAGCAGCGCTTCAGGTTCGAGTGCCGCGCGCCGGTGCCGGACGCCGCGCTGATCAGGGTGTCACACGCGCGCAGCGACGAGCGCCACTGCACCGCCGACGGACAGTGCACGCCAGGTGAGAGGGACAGACATGCATCACTGTCCATATAATACAATGAAACAGATACGGTGGTGGCTCTAGATGCCTTCCCATGAGGAATTGTGTTTTTAGCATGATGTTGAACGATGACATAGCTTCTACTTGAAATGTTCGAGCGTAATGAGATTCAGACTCATGCTTTCGTTTTCGTTCTGAGTCATCCCATGGTCCGCCCCTTTCCATCGTTTCTAACTATCGTTCGTTCCAACGTTTCTAACGTTTCTAACACCCAGCCCTCTTCGCCCCTCTCTGCCCCTCTTTGCCCCCTCTCTGACCCCCTCTCGCCCTGTCCCGCAGCCGACTGGACCGGTCTGGGCTGGGGCGACTGGGGCTCCTGGTCGCCCTGTTCGGTGCCGTGCGGCGGAGGCGTTCAGACCCGCTCGCGCGCCTGTGATGGCCTCCCCTCGGCCTGCCTGGGACCCAGCCGCGTGGAGCAAGCCTGTAACACGGAACGGTGCAAAGGTGAGCGTCCAGAGGTCGTCGCGCGTCCGGCGGGGAAGGACGGGCGTCAGCACGGCGTGAGTCACGCGACAGAGCGGCCTCACTCACACCCGGTCTGTGGTTAGACCTGGAGAAAATTACAGCCCGCTTCACGGGAAGCGCTGATGCAAGGGTGTGCTGACGTGCAGGAGTCCCCAGCAGCCTTGGTAAATAAAACATGCTGGAAGAAAGGGCCTCGTGCTAACGCTTTGCACAGTCACGCCCCAGAACAGGGGAGAATTGAAACAATGCATCGGTTGTTGATTGTTGACTGGTGCACGGCAGACAAGTATCGAATGCAACGTGTGATACTCGTGCTGTATTGTTTACTGTGGAAAACATTGTGGGGATGTAATGCCTTTATGTGAGCTGTGATGCCATTTGCTGTTAGCATGACGTGAATCATGACGTGAAATGTCTGTGGTATGGCGACTGGCGTATCTCAAATGCCGGTGCGTGATAGATGAAAATCGTGGTGTGTCTTCATAAGTTCATAACCCTATGTCTGACATGTTTTATGATCCATTACTGTGTTCTGCGCTCACATGTGTCATGGGTGTATGACACAACGCAGGACTCACGTATAACCCGCTCCTCTCCGGCAGGTGACTGGTCGTGCTGGTCGGAATGGTCGCCCTGCTCCGTCTCCTGCGGGGTCGGCCGGCGCAGTCGACACAGACAGTGCCGGCCGCCCGAGGGCGCCGACCCCAGTGACGTCACCTGTGACGGCTCTGACGTTACTGAGGAGCCGTGCGAGATGCCCAGCTGCAGCAGTCTAGAAGGGTGGAACGAATGGTGAGTGGCTTTGTGCTGTGTCGATGAGTCTACAGGTGTTAAAGTGAAAGTGCACGCATTATTTTGGTGCTCTTCCAGGATTTTCAACGATTATCAAGGATAAAATGGTTTATCCATAAGCGCTATACATGATTTACCGGCACAGGTACATTTTCCTTGCATAGTACCGCACTATTCCAGTAAAGACAATACACACTTCTTTGTCGTAGTCGGTATCCGCCGTCCTTGAGTAGTTTTTCTCCCATTTCCTCCTTATGCATCCACCGTTGCGTTTACTCGATAATCAGAAGGTGCGGGGCTTCTGGTGACCTCTCACTGTCTACGGCCCCTGTGCCAGGTCACTCAGTACCTGCCCTGACCTCGCCCCCCCCCCCTCCCCCCCAGGTCCGTCTGGAGCCAGTGTGATGTCGGTGGGGAGCAGCATCGTGTCAGAGACTGTATGGTCTCGGAGCCCGGCCAGGAGCTCTGTCAGGGAGTGGACCGGCAGAGCAGACTCTGCGTGGAGACCAGCGATGGTAGGTTCCAGAGGATGTGTGGAGATGATTTAGAAAAGTGATATGGAGTGGCATACCTACTGATCACTTGCTGCCACTCAGGGTACCTATGATTCAGTGATATGATTCATTGTGAAAGTAATTCATGGGACCCGTTGAATTTTGTGGGATGCTGCGTGTCTTTCTTCTTTAAATGTGTTTTCTTGTTGGTGTGTATGTGTTTATGAAATAACTAGATTTTTGGCCCAGGTAGACCGCTGTTATCGATGAGAATCTGTTGACGGCCCCTCCACATTTTGTCATTAAGCTCCCAGTGCTGTGCTCAGAGGTCAGATCACGTTTTGGCTCGTCCCCACCGTCCCCCTCTCACACCGTGCCCTCTGCCCGCAGATTCCGTGCTGATGGCAGCCACGGCTGTGGCGCAGGGCGGCGTCAGTGCAGGTCGACTGGTCGGCGCCTGCCTGGGCTGCTTCTGTGCCGGCGCTCTCCTGGCGGCCGCCGGCACGTACTACTACTTACATAGGCGGCGATACGGTCGCGTGCCTGGCTCCAAGTACTACGACACACTGCCGAAGCCGGCGGCACCGAACGCCTACCAGAGCGTGCCCGGCGTCCAGGAGCTGGCCGAGCTCCGTAACGGCCGCGGCCGGCACAGCTCCGCCGGCAAATCGGCCGCCGAGCTGTCCCAACCCGAGAAAACGGCCACAATACGCCGCAACGGCAGCCAACGCTACACGTCGGTACTCGGGAGCGAGCTGCGCGCAAACCTGGCGTCAGACACCATCTACTGACCACTGCCGGCAGGACTCAGTCTCCAGTACAAAGGGTGCCGCGGGAGGGGGCCGCGCGGCGGACTGGGGCGGCCGTGGCCCGCCGTGCACTGGGTGTGTGAGAGGGCGGGCGGTAATTGCCGCATCGCCAGAATTGTGATATCACCTCGGTCATGCTGTGATGGACACTGCGGCCATTCTCATCCACGTGTGTGACTGCGTGCGTGTGTGTGTATGTGTGTTTGTAGCGCCATTAACTATGCTTTGCGATCGGTTGTGGGATGAGACTCAGGTATTTCAGTGCCTGCGAACAAATGTTATAATTGACGTGACGAGGTACAACATTAACTGTTAGGTCCGTGTCTATTTCACGGAGTTCGATCGTGCCGTGCGATGTTTTTTAAAGTGTATGTATTTTTAATGAAGCTGTTTGACAATGTCGACCATGAGTAGGTTTAGATAACCGATATCTTGCTGAGGAGCGACAATGAATTGGACCAATCGTGCACATACTGAGGTTACCGATTTCTACCCCGCCATTTGAGCGACTACTGTGCCTGTCTACGATCCGTGTTTATCAAGTGCTGATTGCAATGCATTCTAACAAGTGCGACGGTATAATAACAATTTAACAACCCGAGCGCTTAACGATTCAATGTTCCCCCGTCCCACCATCTTACAAGTTCCGCGCGATTTACTATCGCTGTCAGTGTCATGCCGCCGCGTTTTGTACTGCCTGACGTGCCAACGGGGCGCCCTGGTTGTGTTGTGGACTGTGCAGGGCAGGGCAGGCGGGTACAACTACCCTGGGTCGACTGTCGACACAGAGACGTCTCTGTGTCGACAGGTGGTCGAAATACACGGATCAGATCGGAAACGACACTTTCGTTGCATGCCTATCATGGAAGCTGGTAGCGTCCTGGCCAAAGAACCACAACTAAGTCGTGTTCGTAGGCACCTCGACTGTTTCGAGGGGTTACAGACGAAATCATTTTATCACAGCTGACAGTGAAACTGGCCCGAAGAACGGGAGGGCAGAGGTAGGAGGGATGCGGGTCAGATGCAGAAAGGCAGAGGGGGTGGAGGATGGTAACAGGTCAGGTATAGTATAAGGATAAGGAGTGGATCAGATGCAAGAGGAAAATGATATGAGAGGATGGTGAGGTTGATATGCGGGGGGGGGGGAGCAGGCCTACCGTTTGACACAAGATGGGGGGTTTTCACTTTTCTCCACGGGCCCCCATGTCACACGAATCTCAGAGCGGTCACTATCTGCAGAGCGGCACGCTCGGTTCCCATGGCTAAATTCTGATTACCGGGCGACCCGCCTTCAACACCATCCGGGAGGCAGTCCGTGGCCGCCCAGCAGCTGTGGTGAACCCACGATAGATGCCGCAGGGGTTCCCCAGCTATCTGCTCTGTTTGAGTAAGGACAATGTCGTGAGAACTGCCGAGGTGCGTCGTTGAAATATGACGCAGGTGATGAACATCGTGATTCCCAGTATTTGGTTGAAAGTGAAAGTGACAGACATCCCAACTGAAGCCATTTTGTTGTTGATAAAGCCATTTATTAGCACGAAGAAGATGTGGAGCGGCTGTCTGGTAAAACACGACAGAGATAAACCAAAAGCTACCGATGCAACAATAATGCATCGCAAACCAACACCGTGTTAGAGACAAACGGGCAAAACTGGTCCTACACTTTTCAAAGAATAGCAATAGTCAAGAGGACTCCTGTATCACAAAGCAATTCTACACATTTCATAACGATAGCCATTACAGTACTCATCAACTTGTCACCAGCATTGTAGTTTGTACACCCAGCATATCCACCGAGCTAACTATGACACGAATTCCGGCTGTCGGAACAGAGAACCTCCAGCACACTGAGTGAAATGTCTCGGCAGTCGTATCGTAAGTAGACCAACCAGGAACAAGCAGTGCGCAATTTCTCTGCGTGCCGTCCACACACGTAAACACGCAGCATAAGCGCAAGTTGCAGTCAAGGCAAACGCCATCGCAACTGACACAGGCCTCTCGAAGGTTCGCTGTTCCATTCTGCAGTATCATTCACGTTCTCCAATGCCGTCGTTCCCGGGCATACTGTGAGAACGAATCACCGCGTCGCTTGGGGGAGAGCCGAGGAATCCCTTAACCTTGTGACAGCAACCGCTCCTTACACATTTCTTCCCAGCATTGCCTTCGGTTCAGCGGACGCCCTTCACTTGATGTTATGCTTTTTGGCGAGAGCGCGGCGCCGGTAGAGCCAGTACTGGGCGCGAATCGTGTCATGTTCAGCGGCCAGCTCGTCACACAGTCTGAGTGCTCTCTGAAGCGCCTCCTTGTCCCCAGCGGCCGCGCGCTCGGCGCTGGCATCCACCACAAACGCGAGCAGCTGCGGCGCGCGGCAGCCGGCCTCCAGCAGGCCGTCACAGAACTCTGTGAGCTCGGCGTGTCCCGACAGGCCGGCGGACGACTGGAACAGGACACCACGCAGGTAGTTCCACGCCGACTCGTTCTGCTTCACCTTGCGCAGCGCCTGCAGACAGAAGGAGACCTCGCGCGCCACCACCTCGGCCGTGAAGCCGGTGGTGTTGTTACAGACAAAGTAGCGCTGGTTCCAGGCCGAGTTGTTGCGCACGTCCTCCTCGAGCAGCCGCTCGGCAAACTCTAGCTCCCCGTCGAACAGGTCGAACCGGCGCACGGCCCACTGCCGGTACTGCCAGGCGTGAAAGTTCTTCGGGTCCTGCGAGAGCACGATCTCGGTGAGGCGGCGCTCGTCGCCCGGCTGGCCGCGACGCTCCACCAGCACGCGCCGGTGGTGCCACACCTGGTAGTTCTTCGGGTGGTCCTCGATCATCTGGCGGGTGAAATCGAGCTCGCGCTCCAGCGGGCAGTCGAGGGCCTGCAGTAGGTGACGCCGGTGGTGCCACACGCTGTAGTTGGCCGGGTTCAGCTCCAGCGCCGCCGAGGTGAGGCGCAGCGCGCGCTCCGACACCTCGCCCGAGGCGAGCAGCGCGCGGAACCGGTCGTACACGTCTGTGAAGCGCTCCGAGTAGAGGATGCGCACCACGGGCTCTGGTCCGTCGTCCTGCGGCACCGGCTGCACGTCCTGCCAGTCGGGCCGCTCGCCGTACGGCACCCAGTCGGGGTCATCCACCGAGCCCTCCTCGAACATGGACGGCGGCGCCGGCTCAGTCTCGGCGGCGGCGGGCATGGCGGCACGATCTAACGCAGGTACGGCGACTGGCTACACCGGCCCAAGGCGGAACACACCTCCCCTGCAACGGATGGATTAGGTAGAAACGAGCTGGTATCTAAATTCACCCTTTAGGAGAAAAAAATGTTAAAGCCATGGTATGTGTGAGACGCCATATCCTGGCAGGATATTGTGGGCAAGCACTCTTGAGTTGAAAGCATCTTAAAATACTCATGCAGGGCTAACAAAATGGAGAATGAGATTGAGAGAAACATATCAAATTCCTCATATACCGTAAACCAGAGCAACTTTGTACCACTTTTTAGGTTTTTGTTGAATATATTTTTTAATTGTTGTCCAATCTGGCTAGTTTTTTGCAAGGTGGAAGCTACAACCTTTGTCAACAGTTTGCTCTAGAGTAAAAGAATGCTAGCATCTTGAGCTATTTTTTTTTTATTGAACAAGTGGTCAAAGTTGTAGAGGGGTTTTACAACTTTGTACCACTGATCATAATCCTATTTTATTCAATGCTAACGAATAAAATGGTATTTTACAGAGCATCTTTGGTCCACATAAGTTCTTTTAAAAAATATCCTGACACACCAGGACTTCAACTGGCTGAAAACAATCACAGAAACACTGGTTTACAATGGGGCAACAGATTCACAGTGAACGGCTGTTCCGGGCTTGTCTCTTGGGAGTACCTCTGATAGGTGCGACCTCCCACTTTTTTTTCTAGACTTTCCTGCACTTTCTCCTCCCATAGCATTAACAGTGAAGCAGGATCAAAGGATCATATGGCACAACTCGGACCTGAAACAGGAAAAATCATATTGGATAGGTATGGAATACAACAGGCTGGGAAATGATCTGGATTTGGAGGGCTAAAAATGAAATATAGACGCAGCAGCATAACCAATCGACTATCAACATCAATAACTTCCAGCATTGACTGTCATAAATGACGAAAAAAGTATGCTATAGTGATGAGAAGCTTCCTAAGAATGATTTCCTGGTGGACCAAAGTTGTAGCATTTTGACGGAAAAAGTGCTTGCAACTTTGACCACCACCCCTAAAAAATGACCATAAAAAGAAAATGGGGGTTTTCTTCCTCTAAGCCTTTGGAGAACTCATGTACTTACTGTCTAGATAGCCAGTGTCGCTCCAGTTCTTACCAGTTCCGCTCCCTACATCATCCTAGCAACTTCTGTTTTTTTGCGCCAAAATCAAGGCTTTTATTATAAAAATTCTGCTGCTGTCAAGGTCACATAACAAAAGCAGGTCTGTTCACACATAGTTAGGGCACATATTGGGCTAAATTGCCTGCATGAAAAAATGTCCCAAATATTACGATGGATTTTTTAAAAAATCAGCAAAGTATCTTTTCCATGGTGGACCAAAGTTGCACCGATGGACCAAAGTTGCTCTGGTTTACGGTAAGTTTTTTTGCTATAGCTTTCTGATTTTTATGCATGTAAGATAATCAAAAATGGAAATGAATGATCTTTACAAAAGAATTTCAAAAAAAATATTTTGCACTTTTGGTAGAGCAGCATTTGCATTTACAGCATTTGCAGCAGAAGCTTATTTTGTGTTCCCGTTGACCAAGCCAAGGCATAATGCAATAGGCATAGGTACCTAGTTCAAAATTAACTGCATGCTAATTGGCTGACAGTGGGCTCTGCCAGAGGTGGCTGCATTTTTTGCCATTTTGCTTCCTCCAGACCGCAAGGCAGTGCAAGGCGCATTTGCAAGTAACACACTCATTTTGGATTAGAAATGGAATAGGTACCTATCTTTTGACTAGAGTGAGCATTGGGCCATAAAAGCTCCTGATTTGTATTAGTGTCCTGTCAGCTCAAGCTAAAGCTACAAAATTGCTATTCCAATGTAAAATCCCATGTTAAATAAGCTTGGCTGATATATTTCCTTGAAATCATTATATCAAAATGAGAAAGTGATTAAGATTGTAGGAATGCATGTTAAGACTTTTGAGAATTGAGTATAAGTATATACCTATTAGGTCTGAATGCTAAACCGATCATGAAAAGCAAACTTCCACTGTACTTAGCAGCTTCTGTTTAACTAGCTGATAATTAAATTGATGAAAGTGCAACTAAAGATTACTTTACTTAAGTGCAACCCTCCAATTACTCACCCAACCTAACCCAAACCCTTCACCTACTTTTCATAGAATCATCATAGAATGCATTTTCCGAATCGTAACTATTGCGCAGGTTTTGTCGAGGATTGAGGCTTCTACATGCTACCACATTTGCTGCCATATCTAGGAAATATTTTTACCCTCGGGCATGTTTTCAGCGGCAAGCGTTTGGGAGAAAACATGCGTTTGGGAGGTGGACGTCGTGCATTGATTTTGCTTAAATGTTGTTAGGGGTCTTCTATTCGCAAAAGAAATCCGTCTAACTTTTTTGAGAAGCTCGGTACTTTGTCTATCAAATGGCTGCTCGGTTTTTTGAAAAATTTTGGATTTTGGCCCATTTTTTTCTTAAAACTGACTTTTGGGGAAAATCATTATAAAGTCCAAAATTTTGAGTGTATCGAAAAAAACGGAATATATGTCAGAGAATGTGCACCTACATACCATTTTTTAGAAGAATCGGTTCAACAATGTGGGAGCTAGGTATAACCGTATACAAACTGTTATGACTCACGACACAAAATTTTTTAAATGATTTTTTTGAAGTTCTAGACCTTGTACGGAAACTTAAATAGCACCATTCGATTCGCCGTGAAAAACTGCATTAGATAGACGTCTTAACAACCAGCTTCAAAATTTGACCTCACTTGACCTGACCTTGACCTGGCCTCGACCTGAAGGCTGAAATTCATCCTGATGTGGTCCATATCACTTATTGAGTGTGCTTATTGAATTGGAGGGGGCAGAATCTGCCCCCCCCCCCAGCAGGGCGCGAATGGCTGAATAGCCCAGCGGGGCGCGGGGTCAAATGGTCGAAACGTTCAATGTTGCATATTATTCGACTATTCGACTCGGCTGTGCAAGAGAAACAGAATGATACCATTTTGAAAGCTTTATCTTTATTATATGACAAGTTATTGGCACAAACGTCAGTTGACCTCATTTGACCTGACCCTTGGATAAGTACACCAAACAAAGAAAAAACAAGTGTGAAGAGGCTTTATGTTAAGTACTATGGTATCAAAGCACAAAAGTGATAAAACGAAGCGGATATCTGAATCTCTAGTATTTTCCTAATTGGAGTTACCTACAGAAGAATCCTCTTAATAAATCCTCAGATAATAAATTCAGCCGCTTATTGTGGCCGCTTGGGCTGTTCACGGATTTTCTCTATAGATACCCATAGTTTATAAATCCGCTTTATAAATCCACGCACACCGCTTAATTAACCCATTTATGCCCAGGAATATTGACCATCATGAAAATCGATGAAATCAAGATATGTTACGCTTCTACCAGGGCCTTGCATGGAATCGAAAATAATTTTTGCCGGCAGCAAAAGTTTTTCGAGAAAAACGTAAAAAACGTGCGTTGCGAAATCGCAACGAAGGGCACACCGGGCGCCATCAGCGTTGCGAAAACGCAACGACGGGCACATCAGACGGACATCAAGTACACTAAACCGCCGTATATGCTAGTTTGTTTTAACATATAATTCACCAACTGTTGACAAATATTGCTGGAGAATGCGGAACCCACATCCCTCATGCTTTATTACCCGCCTAAGAGCCTGAATGAGGGAGCATAACTTAAAGGAAAAGGGCCACCTTTAACATGGGGATTGAAACTGAGATAGCCATCTTGTAGCCCGTGTCCGAAAACCTACCTGTCTCCCTCCTTACGGCCGATTTCGGCCTCCATTCGTAGTTATCGGCAATTTTAAAAGAAAATATGCCAGGAATGCGTCCTTATCCCAGGAATGCGTTCTTATCAGGGTTGTGCTCGACTCAAAAAAATTTGCCGACTCGACTCATCATTCAACTTCAGAAAGCCCTGACTCAACTCTGACTCAAACAAGGAGCTGATTTTTTTCCCTTGACTCGACTCATGACTCAAGTGGCTTTATGAAATTATGAGTTGACTCAAACTTGACTCAAATTTTTTGTTGAGTCAAGTGTGTTGACTCAAAATTGACTCAGATAAAAAAGTTGTTGAGCGGGGGGGGGGTGAAAAAAATCCGGGAGCAGGGCTAGGCCAAAGTTGGTTGTTACGCGGGGGGAGAATGAAAAGCTTATATATTGTTTCTAGAAAGTTGAGTCAGCTGACTCATGTTCCTAAATGTTTTGACTCAACTTAATTTCAAAAGTTATTTTACTGACTCAACTCTGACTCAACTCAACACCTTAATATTTTTGTCCGACTCAACTCTGACTCAACTCATCAGCTCAATATTTTATCCGACTCGACTCAAACCTGACTCATTTGAGTCAGAGTTGAGTCAAATTTCTGACTCGACTCATGAGTCAAGCACAACCCTGGTTCTTATCCGACAATACAGCCACCCGCGGCGAGGCTTTAGTTTTTTACCAATCAGCTCCAATCAGCTCAGCTTTAACCAATCAGCTTATCTGACACAACCCGACGAGTCTGTCTTCTGAACGCTGATTGGCTTGAGTGTGACGTCATCGCTATGCCATCATACAGTAGGTGCCGCAGAGAGTATCAACATAGTACCAATATGTTAAATAGTTTTAAATACTTTTTCGCGAATTGTGCACTTCTGGCACCAGTTTTAAAAAGAAAATGAAAAATAATAATGTCAAAATGAAAAACAACGATATCTTCATATTTCACGAAGGTGGCCCTTTTCCTTTAAAGGGACCCTCCCACCTTCAAAAAAGTTAATGAATTGGCACGAAAGTGATGTCGCTCGGTTCAGAAAGAGCGAAAACGAATATCTACCAAATTTCATCGAAAAATATTCACCGGTTTTCAAGATATTAGACTTTTACTTTTGTTTACTTTTTGGAATATCCGCTGTTCCTAGCGACTTTATTTGAAAGTGCGGCATTTGTTGCGCGCAAAGCAGCATATACCACCGCGTGCTACCAAACGTTTTAGTAAAAGATTTAAAAATCGTTAGATCTCCGCTGACGTCACAAATTCTAAGGGGGCATACCAATGCACTAGCCCCTTAGAATCCGAAAACTGCAAGTTTGAAATTCCATATCTCCGAATTAAAGCATTTGTCGATGTTGTGAGTGCCCAAACCGGTATTTGCAGGCCATGGCCACCAATTTGGCTATCTCAACTCAAAACTAATGTTAAGGTGGGAGTGTCCCTTTAAGGGTTCGCGAACGGGCCGGGGAGATGGCAACAAACGGTCATTATCAACAACAATTGTCCATTTAAAGTACCTAGTGGTTGGCACGTACCCTGGGCGGTGCTTTCTTTTTGGAAGCTAGACAGAGCCATTAGCCCATTACCCTCTCATATGAGAACCCCAAACAGAAAATAATTTAACCGAGGATTGGGAGTAAACCTGTGCCTCGCCTAAGCGCCTATCCGCAATACCATTGTTAACCACCCTCCTAGGAGTAAAGTTAAATTCAAATGCAGGGTAGTCATGCCTACTCTTAGCAAAAAAAAAAAAGAACCTATCCGGCTTTCACAAATTACCCACGTAAGGCGTAGCGCGTCATAACAACTCGGCTTAAAGTGTCTCCCAGGACCCACTTTATCACTTTTACACCTAATACAAAATTGTCATTGTCCCACTCTCAGCGACCTTCACTTGTAACCTCTCTCTCGAGACAATGCCAGGGCAGACCAGTGATTCGACGCAGTTCACACTTTCCAAGTGTTCCGTTAATCCGTCCTTTCCATCTTCAGGATAGTAGAATCCTTCTCCTCCATGCCTCAACCCCTGTTTCGAGCTGGACGGGCAACTATATCGCATTCGAGCAGCTCCCATAGGAGCACAGGTCTGTAGCCGGATGCAGTAAGTGCTTGGGAAGGGGGTGGGGCTGGTTCATGGGTGGCCTGGATGGATGGGCTCAGCCTCGACGATTCACCATGCCCGCTCAGACCAATGTTTTCCCTAATTCAATAATGCTTCTAGCTCTAAAATGGTCTGATTAGACAGGCCTACCCTCAGTAAACAAACAAGCAATGCTTCACATCAACCACCTTATCAATCCGTGCAAACCATCATGGGTGGAGAACCTGCCCCGGCCACCCCGGCCGTGGCCGGGGTAGCTTTCAGCCTACCCCGGCGCGGCCGGGGTAACTTTTCCACTCTTGTAAATCCTAAAAGCTGTCGCCATACGAGAAAAGAAAACTCGTTCTTCGGATGTTGACTGCCATGGGCGTGATATTGCAAATCAGGTAGGTATTTAACATTTACTTAACTTGCCATAATCTCCAACCCTAAGACCCGTTTGTGGTCGCTAATGCCAAGATTGCCCTCAAACCGTGTTCAGTTTCGAAAATTTGGCGCGCGCCTTCGGCGCACTTTTTCAGAGCCACTGCTTGGCCTCACTGCCTTCGACTGTCCTGCCACCAACCGCAACTAGGTATACCGACACTAGGGCGTAGCCGTCAGGATGGTCATAAACGTCTTGTCACGCTTCGAGGCTTGAGCTCAGACTTTTGTAACCGGGACACGTGGACAACCATTTTAGTGTTTTGGAATTCGAACGTTCAATTGTCTCTGTAAAGCTCCTACGAGTTGAGCTGTCATTTTCTGTAGCATTTTGAGACACAACAAAAAGCTGAAAACGCCACGTTTACTCGTAATGGCTTTATGATATGGTTTGGATATGGTGTGAAATTGCATAAGTCTAAGTAAAAAAAAAAAAAGAACTAAAGGCCAAAGGGAAAACCGTTTTTTCAATCATTGCCAACAATGTTATGAATGATACGATGTCAGATATAACGCTCATCCTTGAACAAACACAACATCCATTATTCCATTCCCATGGGTCAGAATAGGGGTTTGTTTATGATGACCGTTGACAACAACGTGAGCATATATCGTCTTTCCGACTATCGGTCGCTGGCCGGGGTAACTTTTTCAAACATTATCCACCCATGAATTCTAAAAAATAAACTATTATTTTCCCAGACGCCATCATCACCCCTGCCAAAGGGGTCTGTTGCCCCCCCCCCCGAGGGGGCATATCCCACATTTGCCGACTCTGGGAGTTATCTTTTCTAACGTA